CCTGAAGGATGGAGAGAAAGAAGTGCACTTTAGAAAGAATACACAGGAGGAAACACTGGGGGTAAAGATACAGGGGGCAGGGATTGTCTCTTACTCCGTGTATGTACAGCCCCTAGTGCAATGGGGCCTCTATATCTCAGCTGGGGTGATTACTCGGTAAAGATGTTCTGCTGGATTGGGCCCTTTGGTAAATTGCAAAACGAAACAAACAGCCCACATGGCAAAGAGCCACTGGGATGTTTAAATGGCTTTCCATTTGAATAACCAAAGGGCTTTGGAGTCAATCATTAACCTAAGCTTTTAGGGCTAGAGGTAAGATATGTTTTTAAACACGATCTTTACCGTACAGCGTCCCTTTAAGAACATTGTCAAAACATCCAGTGAGAGCTACCAGGAAGTCTAACTGCATTTGACTAAAGGCTTGGCAACACTGGAAATTTACAACAGCATAGCTGGGTCTCTGAGGAGTGTGAAAAATCCACACCCCTGACAAACTAATGCCCGGTGTAGACAGTGCTAGGTCAATGGAAGAATTCTTCTGTCAACATAGTCACCACCTCTTGGGGAGGCAGATTACCCAGTACCAGGTTTACAATGTGCCAATGGTGCCGTCGCACCTAGCCCATGCTTGGAAGGGGGCCATAATAACTACACGGTGGCCCACAAAAGGTTAATCCGGCCCTGGGGTTACCTACGCTGGTGGGCGAACCCCTCCCGTCAGCATGGGTTGCATCTATGCAGACACATGACACCGCTGGAGCATTTCAAGTGTAGACAAGCCCTAAGATTTTCAATTTCTGGTGTATGTGAGACAGCTTGGTCACTCGACACTCCCTGCCTGAGATATTCGTCAGTCCAGCCTGACGTTATCCTACCCCAGGTAACGAGAGCCAATAGGAAAATGGGAGATAAGGGGCAGGGCAGGGATTCCATGAAATTTTGAAACAAGCAAACAAAAAAAAAAACCTTTAAAAAATGTTTTCCACTGAAGTTTTCCAGTGCTTTGACAGAAAACGGAAAACTTTTTGGTCGTCAAAACACAAAATTTTGTCCATGTTTCACTGAAAAAAACCTGGAAAATTTAGGGGAGAAAAAACCCCAAATCAACTGCAAAAAATTTCTTGACACAAAAAGGCCATTTTGCATCAAAAAATGTGTTCCTAATGAAAAATGTCAGCTATCTCTAAATGAGCAATAAAAATAAAAAGACATTAGCAGCTGGAATGACTCTAGCAGAGACCACCATCAGCCTTTATTAGTATTATTTATTAGTCTTGCTTGTGAAAATCACAATTTTCTGTTGTCCAAACAGGAAGAGTTCATTAAACCGGTGCTGTCCCCACCGTGCCCCAGTGCATAGGGGGTGCTACCATCCATCATTCACAGGTGCTCTCAGTTGCTCTTGATCCCCTACAGATAGAGGCAGGTGTGGTCATAGTGGCAGGCTCTGACTGCCCCAGCCAGCTCATCTCAGCTTCCTTTCAGCTTAGCTACCTCTAGTGCTGGATGCTTGACCTGGCATTTGTTTCCAGGTAATTAGCAGTTAAGGTAGCTTTGAGAAGCAAAGCGTCCAAGCTGGAATGTCAGACTCAGACCCATCAGCTCATCCCTAATCCCACAGGGAAGTGCCTCCTTTGTATGTGTTTGTAGGTTGGAGAGTTCTTATTCTTCCTCGCTTTTCCCTGCACCCAAATCCCGGCTCAGAGATCACCTGCGCTTTTTCTTTATTCCATGACCTGGGAGCATGAAAATGGCTCTGGTCCCCATGGCGACGCTCATACCAGAAATCCCCTCTGTCTGTCAGCAAGGGCCTCCAGCTGGCAGGGGATTGGGATCACTCCAGGCTTGGCTGTGAAGATGACTTCTGCACCGACTGGGCCAAAGCCCCCGGTTGTCACTTAGTATCACTCAAGCAGGGGGCCCACTGGAACCAACGCGAGTTTGCCTGAGTAGTAACTGAAGGCCTGATGCTGCCCCCCACTTACTTTCACTGCATTGCACCTTCCTGACAGGGCTAATCCCATGGCTTTCAGGAGGGCTGCTCATGGGGAAAGGGGTAGTCAAGCCCTGACTCAGTAAGGGCTGAATCACTGGTTGCAAAGTCAGAAGATAGCTGGGACTCTCTAAGTTTCACTATTATTGTGATTATGGTAGTGCCTAAACGCACCAGTTGAGACCAGTGCCCCATTGTGGTAGGTGCTATAAACAGAGGGAGAGTCAATCCCTGCCCCAAAGAGCTTACAATCTAGACAGACAGAACACAGGGGAAAGAGACACAGATAGATCAAGGACAGAGCTGGGAAAAGCACCTAGCTCTCCCGACTTCCAGGCCAGTGCCCTACATGCTGTACGATACTGCAGGACAACCTGGATTTTACACACTGTTTAAGATTGTGGCTCACGCAATGCCCTGATCTGGAGCCCACACAGCCCCACTGAAGTCTGGGTATGCTGGTGTGAGAGTAGAGTTCGGCTGTAAGGGTCTCATGTTGGATGCCCAAAGTTAGTGGACACCTTTGAAAATCTGGGTGCAAGCCAATACAGAAAAGGGCACTGGAGGTGGAGGGAGTTTTAATAAAGTACATTTCAAGTTCCTAAGTGAGTCTCAATTCCATCCCAGATTAATGCCTGTATCCTCCTATATTCCATGTGCTAAGTATCCCACGGGTTTTTGAAAAAAGAAAAGGAGTACTTGTGGCACCTTAGAGACTAACCAATTTATTTGAGCATAAGCTTTCGTGAGCTTATGCTCAAATAAATTGGTTAGTCTCTAAGGTGCCACAAGTACTCCTTTTCTTTTTGCGAATACAGACTAACACGGCTGTTACTCTGAAACCATGGGTTTTTGCTTGCTAGGCAGCACCACCTGGTGGTACTGACCTGCCATGTTAGCTTGTTTCTTTTCTCAAAAAGAAAAGGAGTACTTGTGGCACCTTAGAGACTAACCAATTTATCTGAGCATGAGCTTTCGTGCTCAAATAAATTGGTTAGTCTCTAAGGTGCCACAAGTACTCCTTTTCTTTTTGCGAATACAGACTAACACGGCTGTTACTCTGAAACCTGTTTCTTTTCTGTGATTTAGTTAGTTTTGGGGGGCTGAATAGGGTGACCAGATATCCCAATTTTATAGGGACAGTCCCGATTTTTGGGTCTTTTTCTTATATAGGCTCCTATTAACCCCCCACCCCCATCCCGATTTTTCACACTTGCTGTCTGGTCACCCTAGGGCTGAAACCTTGACCCTGTTGAAGTCAAAGAGAGTTTTGCCATTAACTTCCAAGAGGCCAGGATTTAACCCCTGATGTTCTACAGGGACACACAGGCGTGGAGGTCGGAGTCTCCTAACTCTTGCTAAAAATTGCATGTTCTCTTTTATATTGACCTTCCTCCAGGGCTCTTAGGAAGACCTGAAGTGAGGTATTTGCTATAGATGCTGTTTCCCACTCCGCTGCAGAGTGGGGGAAAGAGTCAGAAATTGCTACTCGCCTTCCTGTGCAACCCCATTCCAGGTCTGGAAACTTCCTCTACCTTCACCATGGTGAGTCACCCTCTTTGAGCACTGTAATCAGTGGACACTGTCTGACCTCTGCCATGGATGGGGGTATTAACCGGTTATAACCCTGAACCAAGTCAGGTGACTGGGGACTAGGGATAAAGATCACCTAGCTACTAACAACCCTATGTGTCAGCCTTTCTTTCCAGGCACATGTGTGCAGGCAGCCCTAACACACACATGTGCATTCGCTGTCTCTCTGTGCACTGCTCACACCTCCTGTGTGCCTGTCTCTCCCCGGCTGTCCTGTTCACCACCACAGGGGAGCCTTGCAGAACCAGCACCCACTCTCCATCCTCATTAACAGGCACAGTAGATCCCTCACTGAGATCTGAGGCATCCTAAAGAGTTGTTGGTGCCCAGGACTTGAGCATCTCCTGAGAGTGGCCGGGAATGTGCTCGGGGAAGGGGGATGAGGGGATGCCCCCAGGGCAATGACAGGAACAAAACAATGGCCACCCATACCCTGCTCCCATTTGTTGGTTCTCCTGCAAGTGAAGGTTCCATGGCACAATGCGGGCAGGCAGTGAGCGACCCAGCCTCTGGGCAGAGCTTGGTGGAGAAAGCTCATTCCCTTTTGCAGGGGATTTCGAGATTTCAACATTTCTCTCGTCAGTTTAGAGCATCTGCACTAGCGGAGATGCTGGGGTGAAAGTTTTGTTTATGTTCTGCATTGCCTTTTTTGTTAGTTGATGAAACTCTCCACAATCATCTATCAGTCTGTCTGGACTTGTTGAAATGCTGGTAAGGGAAAAATCAAGTCAGGGCTCACCTGCAACTCCACACCCACCGGCAAGGGGATGCACTGGGTCAGCCTGGAGCAATAACAGTTCTCAATACACAAAGGAGAAATCTATGGTCTCTGTGAGAAAGCGCCCAGGGGTGTGACTGGGTGTAGACCTGGAGTCTAGTCCCAGCTCTGCCACTGATAACAATGTGACGTTGGCAGGTCACTTTCCACATCTCCATGACTCAGTTTCCCCATCTGTAAAATGGGCATAATAATATCTTCTAAAAATATGCTCAGCCCCAAGATATAGTCTCAACACAGGAATGACTGGATGAAATTCTTTAGCCTGCTACTAGACACACAGGCTGGGTAATCATAATGATCTCTTCTGCCCCTAAAATCTATGTATGGATCGAAGAATACTTCCCCACACCAGAAGGCTATTTGGAAGCAGAAGTATTTGTAAAGCACTTTGGAAGGGAAGGCTAGAGCGTATTTATCATTGAAGGTTGAGAGTTGTTTTCTTTTATTACAGCAATCGTTAAACTGGGAGCTTCGTACCCTTACATACAGGTGTCGTATGTTCAAAGTACAGCTCAGCCTTTGGATTGCAGCTGATGTGTGAGGCTACCTCTCTCTCAGGGAGTGGTTCATGTGTTCTCCTGTGGGTGGCTGACGGGCAACACTACTTATTACAGGAAACTGGATAATGAAAGTGGTCATAACAAAAAAAACTCATTACAAGCAGGAAGTTGAGACTTCAGCATGTCTACCCAGAGAATCGGAGTCCTGTTAGCTCTGTCTTCCTTACAGCAGATTCTAGGTATGGTATGGACATCTTTGTGCTGCTTTGCTCATGTTAAAGGCATAGTCCAAGCATAGCGTATCCTTTTTGCTTTGTCTTTGCCAAAGCACTCAAAGTCGCTGTGGATGGGGCCTCGGCCATGTAAACAGGAGTGAAAGGCTCTGGGGTGGATAAATGTCAAATGAAAGGTTTTCCTCTCAGGTGTGCCTACATTTGAAATGGGAGGTGCGATTCCCTGTTCATGGAGATATACTCACGCTAGTGCCTAAAACTAGCAGTGTGTCTGTGGGGGCCCAGGCCCAGGGGGTTGGGCAGGATTGTTCTCTGGGTGGCTAGTCCCAGCAGTTGCCAGTGCTGCTGTGGACATGCTGCTATTTTTAGGCGCTTGCTCACGCAGAGCTAGTGCAGGTCCATTTACAGGAGCTGGGCATCACACCCCCAACTCAGACGTGGACCTACCCTAAAAAGCATCTTGCTGAAGGAGCAGGGATGGCTAGAAATTGGTTCTGTCCTGAAAACCCCAGGTGCCTGGCGTGTAGGGCTGGCAGGGCCGTGGCCTGCTTCGGACTCAGAAATCTGGAATTTTGGGAGTGATCTGTTTTTAAAAATTGGAGTTGAAACAGTTGTCTGAGGAATTGCTGTAGGAACTGAAGGTAGCACCTTCAAACCAGAGCATGTAAACTAAGAACTGATCCAGTCCTTTCCCCGGAGCCGGATCTGAACCCCAAGCTGCTTTCAGGGGTAGAGAAAAGTGTGGGCAGCCTACGACCTCGTTGAGGCTGGACTCAGGTGCACCGAGCTTGTTCTTGTGCTTGAAGGACAAAGCCTGAGGGGCAGGAAAATGGGCAAAACCAAAACATGCTCCAACCCCGCCCCCCCCCCGCCCCCTGGGGCCGGGGTGAATCACGCCCATTGGGAGTGCTGCAGAAAGGCATCAGAGAGCAGTAGGTCCTCACACATGCTGCTCTCCCATGAGCGCCCAAACCTGTCCCAGCCCCAGAATCAAGGCTGGAGCATTTGAATAGCTTTTCCTTCCTATTTCCTTCCTTTCCAGGCTCTGTAGCTCTGGGGCAGCCCACCGTGCCACTGTCCCCCCCTCGCAACGTGACACTGCTGTCGAAGGATTTCGGCATGGTTTTGACATGGCTCCCCGGGGAGGGGTCCCCGCCAGATGTGTTGTATACCGTGAGATACCAAAGGTGGGTGTCCCACAAGGGGCTTGTTCCCCAGGGCAGTTGGGGTGTGGGGAGAACTGGGTGTGGTGGTTCTATTAGTGGGGTCTGTTCATAGCTTTTTATGCTGCATGGACCAGGCCCGCAAACAAACTGATCAGGTACAGGGCTGTCCCTTGTAGGGCTAGGATTGCCAGAGGTCTGGTTTTCAACTGGAACACCAGTCGAAAAGGGAACCTGGCGGCTCCGGTCAGCACTGCTGAACCAGGCCATTAAAAGTCTCATTGGCACGGGGCTGGTAGGCTCCCTACCTGGCTCCACGCAGCTCTCCAGAAGCAGGGACATCTCTCGGCAGCCCCTAGGTGGAGGCGCTGCCAGGGAGGCTCTGTGTGTTGCCCCTGCCGCGAGTGCCGGCTCTGCAGATCCCACTGGCCGGGAACTGCAGCCAATGGGAGCTGCGGGGGTGATGCCTGCAGGCAAGGCAGCGCACAGAGCCACCTGGCCGTGCCTCCACCTAGGAGCCAAGAGACATGCTGCCAGCTTCCTGGAAGCCACCTGAGTTAAGCGCTGCCTGGAGCCCAAACCCTCTCCCACACCCCAACCGTCTGCCCCAGCCCTGAGCCCCCTCCCGCACCCAAACTTCCTCCTGGAGCCTGCACCCCCCACTCCCTCCTGCACCCCAACCCCCTGCCCCAGCTTGGAACCACCCCCTGCACTCCGAACCCCTCGGCCCCAGTCCAGAACCCCCTCCTGCACCCCAAACCCCTCATCCCTGGCCCCAGCCTACAGCCCACACCTCCAGCCAGAGCCCTCACCTCCCCCCAGCCCTGACCCCCCTCCCACACTCTGAACCCCTGATTTCTGGCCCCACCCCAGAACCTGCACCCCCAGCTCAGAGCCCATATCCCCTCCCGCACCCCAACTGCCAGCCTCAGCTCAGAGCACCCTCCCACACTCCAAACCCCTCAGCCCCAGTCCAGAGCCCCTTCCCACACCCCCAGCAAGAGCCCTCACCCCCTCCCAGACCCCAATCCCTGTGGAAGGGGGTGAAAATGAGCTGAAAATGAGCAAGTGAGTGAGGGCGGGGGAGAGCAAGCAACAGAGGGAGGGTGGAAGGAGTGAGCAGGGTTGGGGCATCAGAGAAGGGGTGGGGTGGGGCCTTGGGGAAGGGGTGGGGCAGGGGGTGGGGCCAGGGTGTTCGGTTTTGTGCGACTAAAAGTTGGCAACCCTATGTAGAGCACTGCGGGGAGCTGGGGTGCAGGCAACTTAGAGCCTGGTTAAAAGCGCTCCCCAGTGCTGCCCAGGCCAGCCGGGCCGTGTTTGCTCTCTGTGCTGTCACGGGGACTGTCTTAGTACACCCCACGCAGGCTGGCTGCTAAAATTCCCTTTCTCCCCTGCCATTCTGAGCACACCCCTGTGGTCTCTGTCTAGCTTCCTGCCTCTCACCACTGCAGTTTCAAGTTCCTTAATCTCATCTGCCCCAGGCTCTGCCTTCCTCTTTCACCTCTCCCTAGAGGGTCTCTCTTTTGCTGATCTCCCTTCAGCTGGCCCCTTGCTTTCAGCCTTGCCTTCCTCTCCAGGTGGTGTCAGTTCCCATGGGCCTGGTTCTTTGGGGCCTGAGCCAAGTCAGTAGACGTCTTTCCGTTGATGACCATGTAACTGGAGACATGGCGTTTCACCAGCAGGAAGCTGGTGCAGCAGAGTGGAGAATCTGGCCCCTTGTTTTCGTCTACCAAGCACAATCTCTCTCTTCCTTCTCTCTCCTTAAAACCCACTGCTTCAAACCTCCCCTTCCTTTGATCCTCCCTCAGCCTTCCCTCCCCTGGGCTGCCTCTCCTCCTGCCTGTGTTTGCCTCTCTTCCCCAGGGCCCGCTTGTGCAGCCCACATTGGGAGGACTTGCAGATCCTGATCCATCCTGCAGGGATGTCAATGGGAGCCTTTTCACTGGCCTCCATGGGCAGGGACTAGGCCCAATGAACTTAAGCTAAGAGTTTCAAAAGTGATTTGCGGGCCCCAGTGTGAGACACTTTCAAGGGGTCTGATCCTCAGGAGTTGCAGAGGACCATCCCTCTGGAACTCAGGACCTTTTAAGGCAGCTCAAGTAGGGCACTCAAAAACCCACCAGGGGTGCCTAAAATTACGAGTCACATTTGAAAATCTTGGCCTGGGGTTGTAAAGCTTTTTAGGGAAGAGGCTGGGTCTCATTCCTTCTACCTTAAGTACTTATATGTCATATCTGAGTGCCTGACTGTGTTTAATGTGCTGCTCATCATGACATCAGTGCAAGGCATGGCAGGGCAGTGTTATTATACCTGATTTACAGATGAGGAAACTGAGGCATGGACACTAAGTCGGTGTCTATGCTTACCGCGGTGTGTGGAGTACAGAGGTAGCACGCCCCGCAGCACAGGAGTAAACAGCAGTGTAGACGGCGAAGCACTGCTTAGCCCTGTAGAGTAGAGACATGCCAGAACCTTAGTGTGTGTACCCTACACAGCCCTACATGCCCAAGCTGGGCCTCCCATGTCTGGACTGCTATTTTTAGCAGTGTAGCGTCCTGTTACCTCTCCTCTGCCAGAGCCTTTCCCCACCGCAGGGAAAGCCTCTGTCAGCGGGGAAAGGCTCTGGCACGGTGGAAACAGTGGGGAAAGGCTGCAGCAGCTTCCCTGCTGCCAGAGAATTTCCCATGCACCCCATTTTTCACTGCAGTATGTAGCTACATGTACCCTACTCCACGCCACCATCAGTATCACGGCATGTGTGATTTTCCCAAGGTCACCCAGGAAGTCTGAGTCAGAAAAGGGGATTTGATCCATGGTTGCCTGAGTTCCAGGTTTGCACCCTAACCACTGGGCAATCCTTCCTTTCATTGTTTAGCTGCAAAGCAGAATGTAAATCTGTGAGGCCATTTAAATAATTAGAATTTGGGCTCTGTCTCTTTGCCAGGGCCAATCCCTGGGAATAGGCAAATATGGGGAGAGCTCTGCCGTAAGCCCTCAGCCATGTTTGGGGCTAGTTCTGCAAAACGCCACCCCTGCTAGCCCAAAGAAGCACTAGATGTTCAACCCTGTGTTGGTTTTGTTTCTTCTTTCAGATGGGATCACTTAAAGCACTGGGAAAAGGTCCAACACTGCAGAAATATTTCCCAAACCACCTGCAATCTGACTTGTGTGCCAGACCTGTACAACAAATTCAGCGCCCGTGTCAAAGCCCAGTCGGCAGGGCGCAGGTCCCCTTGGGTGGAGTCGGGAGTCATGGAATATCATTTTGATGGTATGTTATTGTTAGTCTATGCTATGGCTGAACAGCCTTTCCCGAGAGAATGTTTGTGTGGTGCCCCCACAGGACTAGAAGAGTTTGGAGTTTCCCTCTACTCTCCTCCACGCTTGTAAGATTTCGTAAGGTGCTCAGATACCATGGTGCTGGACACGGCATAAGAACCTGAATAGAACAGACCCACACTACAGCTGTAGGCCCTATGCAGAGAGCTGAGTCTCAACAACCTCCCCTGGAGGAAGGACAGTGCCCGTTGGGGAGTTTCTGGTCGGCAGCTCTTTGTCCTTCATTATCCAACATGTTCACTGAGATCGTGGCTTCTGCAGATCAAGGGGCTACTGCCAAGTCAGATGCTTAAAGCACTGGCAGGCCCACTGACGGGGGGGGGGTAACGGGGGCAACTGCCTAGGGGCCTGGGTGATTTAAAAGGGCCCGGGGGCCGCCGGCAGCAGCACAGCAGGGCTAAGGCAGGCTTCCTGCCTGCCCTCACTCTGCGCTGCTGCGGCAGCCCTTGGGGAGGGGGTCTCCACGCATTGCCCCCGCCCCAAGTGCAGACTCCACAGCTCCCATTGGCTGGGAACTGCAGCCAATGGGAGCTGCGGGGGTGGTGCCTGTGGGCAGCGGCAGGCGGAGACTCCCTAGGCCCCCCACCTAGGAGCCACTGTCAGAGGGGTGTGCCAGTTGCTTTCGGGAGCCACCCGAGGTAAGCGCCGACCCCCTGAACCCCTCCTGAACCCCAACCCCCTACCCAAGCCTAGACCCTGCACCCCACACCCAAACTCCCTCCCAGAGTCCGAACCCGCATCCCTTCCCGCACCCAATTCCCTCCCAGAGGAAGGGGCGGGGCAGGGGGTGGGGCAAGCGTTTTTGGGTTTGCGTGATTAGACAGTTGGCAACCCAACTGGGCGGGCATTTGGAAGCCAGGCTGTGCGGAAGAGCGCAGCCAGCAGCTTGCTGGGCACCAGCCAGCACAGGCGCAGCACTGCCCAAATGTCAGGCGGACCACGTCCGCACAGGTTCAGCTTGTGCATGCATGGGGGCCCACTGCTTGTTGTGCCCTGGGGCCTGGAATTGCTGTCGGCGGGCCTGAGCACTGGCTTTGAACTCTTTGTAGCCATCTAAGAAAGAGCCTGAGCTTCACAAAAACTTAGTGTCCAGGGTTGCTTTATATGTGGCCTGTTTGGGTGGCTGGCTTTGGGCTGCATACTGGGATCTATGCGAGTGCTGCTCTAACATCTGGGCACTCAATTGCAGTGGAACTGGCTCCCCCGACACTAAAAGTGAGCGTGACGGAAACTACAATCAACGTGAGTGCCACCTTCCCCCTGGCCTCCTGTGTGAACGAAGCCTTTATCGGTCTGAAGTATGACCTGGATTTCTGGGAAGCCGGAACTGAAGACAAGGTCAGAAGACCAGTGTTTCATTGGATTAGGCATAGATACATACTGGAGATGCAAAGCTTGGATCTTGGTCCAAATGTCTCTAAAGTTCTGGGGAGGGGAGAGGGTTGGATCTGGGTTTTTGGGAACAGGGAATCCTGGGAATAGTTGTTTGATTCCAGTTCCTTCTGCTATATATCCCACAATGTACAGAGACAAAAGTCCCAGGATACATAGAGTCCTGCAAAGAAGCAAAGCCTTATGGGATACCTGCCCACGTCCTCCACACAAAGTCCAAAGTGTGAGACACGCTGATAGGTATTGAATCAGAGAACAGCTGACGTTGTGTATACAGAGCAGGCCGTCTCACACGCACCAGTTAGTGTGCAAAACACTCAGCGCAAAATTAACACCCCCTACCCCCACCCCTAGTGCAGCCAAGGCCTAGAAGACTGAAACAGTCAAATGAGAAATACCAGTGCCAGACCAGGCGTCTGTGGAGTCATACGTGGTTCTTGCCTGACTAACACCTACACACTGAAGAGGAAAGACGTGTCACAAAGGTCCCTCCAGAGTCTAAACAGAGGATCCAGGTCTTAACAGAGAACCCCAACTGTCTCCAACCCTCCGTTTGCCTTGTGTCTCAGCAGAAGCAGTACTATGACAACATGAAGCAGGACAAGGTAACAATCAACACTTCTGTGTTCAGCGGCAATTACTGCCTGAGTGCCAGGGCTTCCTTCCAAGCAATCCAACTAAAACACAGCAAGTTCTCCAAGCCAGTGTGCGTGCTGTTAAAGACCAAAGGTACGGCCCTGCTGGGAGGGAGCAAGGGGATCGGTGGGAAGGGGCAGGCCTGGGAGGAAATGTTTCCATCCAAACTGGTTTTTAATGGAGAATTGGGTGGTCCAGGAAAGAGGCTGGTTTTGCAAAAAAAGTGACTCCTTTCTGTGGAAATTTTTGTCAAAAACCAAAATGCCCCAAAAACTGAAAGACTTTGGCCATAAACCAAAATATTTTAGCCAAAATAACTTGGTTTTTCAGCCCAGAATTTTTGGTATTTGAATTTCCCCTGAAAATATAAATTGTCCATGGAGAACCCAGATTAGGCTGTTTGGTTTTTTTCCATTTTCAGCAATGTTTTCTGTAAAAAAATGAATTAGGTTTTGACCAGCTCTAGACAGGATGCTGGTCTGGATGTGGGCAGACCTGAGTTCTGTTCCTGGTTTGGTCATTGACCTGCTGGCCAAATCACTTCCTTGTCTAGGCTGTTGTCAGATGAGGAGAATGACACTGGGATTTGAGATCGACGGATGGGAAGTCCTCTGTAAGAAGCTAGTAGTATTTGTAGAACATGTCCACAGCTACAGAACTATTTCTTGGCTTTCTCTCTTGCAGCCATGGACTGGAAGTTCCTCGTCACCATTGCAGTCCCATTGCTCGTCATGCTTTTCCTTTGCGCTGCCGCTGCCTCCGTCCTATGTCTGGGTAAACAAGCTGCCAAGAGAGAGAAGAGGCCTCAAGCTTTGGTATGGAACGACTGCGTTATTGGGTCAATCCTGGAAGCTGCCATGTTCTTGCAACTCTTCCTGATTTCCTCCGCACCTCTCAGGATTGAGTCCAGAGTTGAGATCAGATAACACAAACTTCAGTGTATTTGAACAGCGGTAGCACCCAAGGCTTAGGAAAGGGATAGATAATAGGACAGAAAATATCATCTTGCCGCTATATAAATCCCTGGTATGGCCATATCTTGAATACTGCGTGCAGATGTGGTCACCCCATCTCAAAAAAGATATATTGGAATTGGTTCAGAAAAGGGCAACAAAAATGACTAGAGGTATGGAAGGGACAGGAGCTGCTTCCAGCTGCAGGGGAGGAGGGGGGAATCATAGAATATCAGGGTTGGAAGGGACCTCAGGAGGTCATCTAGTCCAACCCCCTGCTCAAAGCAGGACCAATCCCCAATTTTTGCCCCAGATCCCTAAATGGCCCCCTCAAGGATTGAACTCTCAACCCTGGGTTTAGCAGGCCAATGCTCAAACCACTGAGCTATCCCTCCCCCCAGGGAAGGGATGACCTGGCCCATGTTGTTGCAGAGTTCATCTCCTCTCCACCCCCCACCCCCAGTGTGGCTGGACGCAGCTTGTCCCTTTCTGCCCACACAGTGTCAAAAGGCAGCTATCACCTCCAGGCTGCTTCTTGGCACCCACATAAGCCAGCCACCTCGGCTATGGCGCAGGCAGGAAGGGGTTAAGCCCTAAGAATGCATTTTGCACCAGGGCCCAGGGAACCTGACTGCAGGGGCTTCAGTGAACCCAGCCAGAGGGGTGGTTCAGGAAGGGAGGATTCCTAGGGGATGGAGCAGCCCCGCGCTCCCTGGGGGCAAGACCCGGGGGTGGGGTGCTGAAGAGGGTGCTAAGCCTCTGCCCTGAGGGCTGCTGTGGAGCCTGCAGGTTCGGGTGTGAACAGGCTGGAAATTGCTTCTCCCCGCCCCAATCCTGCCACTTCAGAGTTTAGCTGAGGGGCGGAGAGGCTTCCCCGGGCCAGCGCTGTGGGTGAGCTGAACACTCTGACCAGGGTTCTCCACACAGTGCTGGGAGCAGGACACGACCCGCTGGGGGGGATATGGAGGACCAGAGGGGCAGGGGGGGTGACGGGGCAAAGCAGGGAGAGGACAGTTAGAGGGGGAGCATGATGGGTGGGCAGCAGAGGCGACATGTAAGTGGCCATCACCTGGTGCCTGCCAGCACTCACCAGCCACCGCAGCACGCAGCCAGCACCAGCCAGAAACAGGACGGGATGGCGGGGTCCTGCTGGCCGAGAGTTGGCACACAGCGGGGGCTGCGCTGATGAACCAGCAGGGGGAGCGGCCAGCCCCGCACGCTGCATCTTCGCCCCACCACCAGCCTTGTGCACCCACCCCATCGTCCGCCACTGGACACACCCCGCCCCCTTCACCACTGGTGGGTGGGCGGCTGGCAAGCAGGGACCTGGCCAGCAGCAGGACCCACCGTACTGATGTGGGGGAGACAGAAAATACAGTACCATTTGCCTGTTTTTAAGAAAAAGTCTGGACACCTGCAGGAGAGCTTAAATACGGGACTGTCCCTTTAAAATGGAACGTCTGGTCACCCTAACTGAAGTCAATTGGGACTGGGCCCCATTGTGCTGTACAGGCCCACAATAAGAGCCATTCTCCAGGCTCTCTGCCACTTCCCATGCCCACTACAGTTGCTTTAAAAAGTATCCATCAAAATCAAAACTCCCTTTAACCTGCCAATCTCATTTCCCTTCCCTCTAGGATTTCTCCCATTTCAGAGCTCCTAGGAAGATCCTTGAGAAGGAGACCAGCGAAAAGGAGTTCTTTGAGGAAGCCCTCGTCCGCGTGGAGAAGCCAGCTTTGGGAGGGAGAAGGAGTGGTCCTTCAGTGAGGAACAATGTATCACTAAAGGCTTCTCTCCTCTCACTCTGGGAGGAAGAGGAGGAGGATGACAGCAGCAGTTTCAGACCCTACACTGAAATGCCTCGGTTCCCGAAGAGAGCTCCCAACAGCCAAGCAGCCAGCACGAGTCACCAAGGGTCCCACTTGGGCTCTGAACTGGGTGGCTCCCACCTTGAGGGAGGATCTTTGTCTAACCTAGCAGGGTTAGAGTTCTCTCAGCTTGTCTGGAGAAGAGGCTCGGCCGAGGAGGACACCTCTGGGTTCCAAGACAGCGAGAAATCCTTCCTTTCTGAGAGTTCCTCCTTGGGAGACTTCTCTCTCATTGAAGCCAGATATCCAGCTACTAGTGGAAATGGGCAGCATGTCTGCCAAGGAGACACCTTCCTTCAGGTGACTGTGTTGATGGAGGGGCTGAATGGGAAGCCTCTTGTCAGCGAGGACTCCGAGGGCTTCCCTCTTGATGGGCCGCTTGTTTGCTTCCAGACTTTAAAGCTCGCAGAGGATGAGGGCATTGCAAGCGACAGTGACAGCCTCACCGTGTGCTCAGAAGAAGACCCACCACCCCTGGCCTCAGTAGTAAGCGAGATTTTTGAAACAGAGACACGGGGGAAAGGTGACAGCTTGCAGCAAGAGAGCTATCCAAAGTTTAAATTCCAGGGATATCAGCATGTGCATTATATGCCAAGGAACTGACGGGGTTAGCAGTCCTGTGGTTGGTCTGGATCTAGGGAGCTCCATCCAGGAGGAAAACAATGACAAGTGTTTGTCAGAAACAAGATTTATGCTGCTTATGCATTACCACCCATGCAAAATGCTTTCTGCTACTGTTTGTCCTGCCTAGGGCTAGGTCTTCCTTCACTCACAGAAAGAGGTGGGTTTTTGTCACGGGGTATCTAATGCACGTTAGCTATCCCGCTGGAAAAACAAGGCACTGTAGTTTTACCATGAGGTAAGCAAAGTGAGGTAGACCCCACGCAGGGCTACCTCATGGTAACACTACAAGTGTCTTGTCTCCACTTAGAATTTTACAGTGAGATAAGGCTCTTGGGCTAGTTATTGTTAAGGCTGCATGACCTCTGTCATGGAGTTCATGGAAGTCATGAAGTCAGTGACTTTCCGGGACTTCTGCAATGGCCAGTGCGGCTGACCCCAGGGCCATCCAAGCAGCTGGCCCCAGGGGCCTCAGAGCAATGGCTGGCCAGGTGCAGTCAGCCCCCGCTGTCAAGCAGAGGCCAGTCATTGGCCCCCAAGGTTCCCCCAGAGCAATGGTGCCCAGGGGCCCCAGGAGCAGCTAAGGTTTAGTCAGGGGTATTTATAGTAAAAGTCATGGACATGTCATGAGCAATAAACAAATATTCATGACCTGTGACCTGTCCATGACTTTTACTATAAATACCCCTGACTTAAAAATACCCATGGCTACATCTTAGCCTTAATTATTGTACTGTAAAAAACACACACCTTTGTGTCAGTGAAGACAAAGCCAAGGGCAGTATAAAACTGCCAGCAAAATACTGGCAACATGGTATGTTCCAATTGTGTGTGGATTTCAACCTAGGCCAGCACACTTCCGTTTCCCCAGCTGTCATTGTGCAGTTGCTTCCTTTGCTGGATGGGACTATCTTGGGTGGACATTTGCCTCCCACATAGACATTTGGACACATCTGCTTTTCGTGGGGTAAAGGGAGCTTCCGGTCCGCCTGCAGCGCTTGCCCTTCGTGTTTGAACAGAGAGAACAAAAATCGAGGTGGGCAATGTGAGATGTTTGTTTTGGTTATTTATTTTGATTTATATAAAAACACACCTGTCGGTGCTGAAATTCACCCTGCTGAGCAGAGTGGCTCAAAGCTGCTGTGTAATGTTTGGGGGGCGTTCCGCATGTGTGTGTATTTGCATTTCCCCACAACAACACAGGGCTACCTCTGCTCACCGGAGAAAGCCCATGCTATTTGCCAGAATGGAATCCCTTCCCATCATCACTCGGTGTGAGCGAAATTCTGAGCAATTCATCGTGCACATTGCTTCGTTTGTGCCAGGGCTGAGCCCGGCACTTCTCGGCCTGGCAGTTCAGAGCCCTGGCACCACTGGACTTGCTGCATTAGTTAGGAATGTAAAAAAATTGCTAGAGGCCTGGCACTTAATTGCTTGAGCCTCAGCACCTCTTTCATTACAAATTAAGCACTGATCATACATCTCTCCTCCAAGAATACTATTTGCTGTTGTAGGCTGCAGTTCCCTTGCTGCTTACCCATCTCTGAGCGAAGAGTCAAAGCTTCAATACCACCCCTAACTACCCAAGAAGGGGGTGCTAGACAGAGGTGGGATCTGTGCCCGTCTCTAGGGGCTGATGGTGTTTTACTTGTGGTGTTTCTGGCTGAAATGAACTTGATATGTATGTTTTATTCCGGTAAAGGAGATCAAGAAAGGCAAACTGGTTAAAGGGGAAATAGTGAGCTGCCTTTGCTCAGCGCTCTCCATGCACACTGAGACATACCTTAGAGAGTTTACACTTGGAGAAAAAGGCAGGGGAGTATTAATGTGGGTCTTTAATGTTCACAGCTTTCAGGGGATGGGGAGATTGAGATCAAGCACCAGAAGCAGGGGAAGAGATCACGTGATGGATAATGGCAACAATGCCTTTCACCATTATGGGTCACTCCCTATGTTTCAGATCAGATAATGACTAGAGACAGCAGCAAGCTGCAGGGTTCAGAACCAGATCTGGACTTCAGTGTATTATCATAGAATCATAGAAGATTAGGGTTGGAAGACATTTTAGGAGGTCATCTAGTCCAACCCCCTGCTCAAAGCAGGACCAACACCATTGGTTCAGGCGAGACTTGAGTAGCAATTGAAAGTTGTTACCATCTGACAGTTGTTCGTCAGTCTGTGTGAAATGAGTTGATGGTCTCAGTCCCGTTCTCGGTGGACATATGTCCACATCACAATTGCTTTTGTCCCCCTTTGTATGGAGAATCGTAGACCCAGATACAGAAGCAGATTTGCTTCCCTCTGCAGATTTGGGAGGAGAACGTAGGCTAAGAATTTGCTGCATGTGGCAGGGATCCGATTTCTTTATTTGAGGGGAGTTTGCGGCCTGATTTGCAGAGATGCTAAGTCTCATGGTAACGGAGTAACGGAAAAAATCAACCTTTAATGTGAAAACACCCAGGGAAATGGCAACAAATGCTATGTATCTAACCTGCCACGGAGGGCAGTGGTTTAGAAAGTTTGGGCTCTGGGGCTGCCACTGTGATGTTAGAGAGGCAAGATGGGTGAGGTAATATCTCTTATTGGACCAACTTCTGTGGGTGAAAGAGATAAGCTTTTGAGCTACATGGAGCTCTTCTTCAGGCTGTTTGTACACACCCAGCCAGCAGCAGTACTCTGGCAAGCTTTAGCAAAACTTCAGTGATTTGGGATTTAGTCTCACATAAAGTCAGCACCGCTGATCTTACTGTCAGTGAAAGCAGATATGTGGTCTAGCAGGTAGAGCAATGCAGCTGGGTGCTCTTCGTTCACAGGAATCCCTGGGTTGAACGCTCTCGCCTGTGTAATGCAGAGGTCACATGAGATGATCCAATCATCGCTCTGACCTTAAAATCTATTAAGTGTAAAATCGGATGACAAGACTTCTCACCTTTTCTCCCATGGTGCAAGCATGAGTTTCATGTTAAAGCTGTGTTATAAATGACAGGTTTCAGAGTAGCAGCCGTGTTAGTCTGTATTCGCAAAAAGAAAAGGAGGACTTGTGGCACCTTAGAGACTAACCAATTTATTTGAGCATGAGCTTTCGTGAGCTACAGCTCACTTCATCGGATGCATAACATTTGTGTTATGAATGACACTCGTTCCAGTTCTGCCTCACTGGAGCTCACAGACCCCCACAAACTTGGAGAGGCTGGACTCCAACCCCATATCTGAGCTTTACAGCTTGGTCCCCCTCTCTCTGAAGAAAAACAAATTCCAAGAGGCAGGTTCCGTCCCTCTACAGATTAAGACAGACAAGCAAGGCCTTCAAATAATAATCTCAAAGCACCTTGGGTGATGGAACGCTCTTGAGGACGAAGTCAAGCACCCACACCATAGTCCTTACATAGGTCATCATGAGTTATAGCAAGCCCCTGTCAACATGGGTTTGTAAGTAACATGAGTTCTGAAGGGAGGAAAATATGAGGGCAGTTTTACAGTCTTCATCCACAGAGCTCCTTGATGGACGGGGCTGTGTGATTAGACACAAGCAGTGTTAATTGATAGGTGGGTTTTGCATAATTAACTGGTTGGACTTCTACAGCTCGCCCAGGTGAGGTGGGAGGGATACATACACAAGCTTTTCTATGAATTTGTGGCGCACTCGGAGCATTCATCAGGGCTTATATCCTACTGGGATGGGTGCTAGAGAAAAATCTGAGGTAGAGAACTAGAGAATAATAGAGGATCAAGGCCAGGGACTGCATAGACATCAGGTATGGTATTTTCCTAATATATGTTTGGCCTTCAGGACATCACAACCAGGTTATGGTGCACAGGGCTTTACTACTGTATTTGATGAGTGTCTGTAATTAATTTAAAGTGGTTGTAAGTTGGGCCCCAGGCTCATTTGAGATGGTTTGTGCTTGGGAGAAAAGCTTTGCACCTAAACCAAACTCCAAGGAGAAATGAAAGGGGAAACCAAGTATTTCGGATTTTTAAATTGGCTTTAAAGAGTACCAAGTTCCCACCCCAGAATGGGGCCGAGAGGTTGGCCCCCACCAGTTCATAGCGCAGCTCTGTTACACATTCAGGGAATGCTTTGAGGGTGATCTCATTGATCAGCCATTTGCTTGGGCCAAAGCTCTGGTGGTGGTAGCAGCTAGATGTCGGGGGGTGGCTGTTTTGCTCTGCCTCAGGTGAAACCCAGATTTATGTAGTAGGCCAGGATAGGCCTAGGCAATACTTGAGCCCCAGGATTTCACTCTGTTATGAACAGTAAGATACTGAGCAATTGATAATACAAACCCCAGAAATATCCAAGCAGGAATCCATCTGCTAACTAGGAAGTTACTGTACCTTAGAGTCCGGGAGCAGATAGCTTGCAGGGAGTGGGGGCTTTTCCACAGCTACGCACACACAGTCGCTGTGCCTGGGAACTCTTCCAAGCCAAACAGAGTGTGCAGCAGTGCCAACTCTCATGGCTCTATTGAAAGTCTCGTGATACTTGGTTTGTTCTTAAAGCCCCAGCTCCTGGAGGCATGGGATTAGGTGAGACGCTCAGCCTTTTAAAAAGAAGTCTCTGTCCCTTGTGGTTGTAGAGAAAAGCCTGAAACTGTGACCTGAAGGTGCCCAAAAGGCTCAAAGACAAGAAGGCAAAGAACAAGAGCCCTGAATAAAGATTAAATCTCATGATTTTTGGGGGGAACGTTATGTAACAAGCAGCCACATCTACAGTAGGATGGTTGTTCATGGGTTGGCTGTAGTGGTCACTTGGAACTTCACAGCTCTAATAAGGGATACAGCTCGGCTCCAAAAGCCCAGGCCCCTATTGCTTGAGCTACAGGAAAATCTCCATAGCTAGCCAATGATATAGGGGCTATGATACACAGTTGATCACTTCAGATTCCATTCCATAGAGGGCAGTGCTGCACGTCAGCCAGCCAATTCTAATGCAAGCAACAGGTATAGAGGTCACTAACAAGTGAGGTGGGTGGTTTTGGAGTGAAGGAAGCAGCCACAGGGTGTTTCCAATGTAACTAGCTGCCTTGTTGGTAGAGGTTAGGTAATCATGACACCAGCTTTGCCTTTTAAAGTAACAGAGGCAAAGCTGCCAGACCAGAAAAGCCAGCCCCAGATGGGAAATACCAGCAAGGGCTTTCAGGCAGGCAGTTCCTTATCAGAAAACAGGCACTTGGCTCCCCTTCAAAAAGCAGGGAACTTTTCACTCCTTGTGCACCTTTGTACAACACAGTGTGTGAGTGGACTCCCATTCCCTCTTGTGCGCGCACAGCCTCATGTGCTCCGACGGGAATGAAGGCAGGCTGGTAGCTCCTTCCTGGCCGCGTGGCTTATGCTCCCGAAGACAGGAAATTACTTCCCTTCAGAGGTGACTCACCTGGGCTTGGGAAAAATCCCCATCTTACCATCCCAGCTCACAGAAAGTCATTCATGAAGGAGCCTCTGATCTTTTGGGCTGTCTGTTCCCTGATGGGTAAGTACTGGCTTTCATTTCCTTTTGACCAGGGGAACCACAGTCTTCAGTGGTTTTACTGGTGCAGGGGCTGGCTCCCGCAGCAGGGGTGGCTGTTATGTGGCTGCCCTGAAATGAGACCTAAAGCAGGGGTTCTCACCTTTTTCTTTCTGAGGCCTCCACTAACATGCTATAAAAACTCCACAGCCCACCTGTGCCATAAGAACTGGTTTTCTGCACATAAAAGCCTGGGCTGGTTTTAGGGGGTAACAAGCAGGGCAGTTGCCTGAGGCCCCACACCACAGGGGCCCTGGCAAAGCTACATTGCTCAGGCATCAGATTCAACCCCGGGTGGTGGGACTTAGGGTCCTGGGCTTCAGTCCTAGGAGATGGGGCTTCGTCTTTCTGCCCTGGGTCCCAGCAAGCCTAACACTGGCCCTGCTTGGTAGCCCCTCTGAAACCCGCTCGCAGCTCCCCACGGGGCCCCAGGGCCCTGGTTGAGAACCACTGACCTAGAGAGTTTGCTTCTGCTTGGGTTAGTTTTTAAGCTCTCTGCCGGCATTGCTCCAATCTTAGTTGGCTGACCCTGTTT